TATTAAAATCATCCTAACCATTTATTTTTTTTAAGCATAAATATTGTCTTATTATGGTAATACAAATATTTAATTAACTTGATTTTTTCATAAATAATTTAATTAACAAACCTTATAATAATATTAACAATTCAGAATCCACCCCATGAGCTTCACGAAAGGGTGACGTAGCATGAACTTCGACGTCGGCTACGTGTCCAAAATTAGGGGAAATAACACATTGGTTGTTGTTAGATCCTTCGGCAAGTATTGGATTTTGATGCCATCACAAGATTAAAATCTTGACTATCAAAATGAGGCAGTGACAATTTGCCATGGGGAAATAATTAGAGGTTGACCGAAATTTGCGCTGCTGAGTGCCTCACGACCAAACTCAATTTGAAAATGAAAGACTAAAGTTTAGTCATACTCGATAAAGTCTAGGTATTCGTCTGCCACTACCATTTTTCTTCCGCCCTTTGCGACGAACTCTTAAAAAAAAATAAAAAATAAAAAATAAAAAATATATATATATATATATATATATATATATAAAATAGAGATGACTTCTTTTCTATAAAGTATGATTATTTTGAAAAATATATTGTATCCATACTGGATATTTATGGGCGTATGATATCTCATGTGGTACTTTTGCACACGTACCGAGTACACGAAATAGGTATCTAAAGTTTTTTTTCTTAATTTTTAGCGTATCCAGACGTACTTACTATATACCCAAGTCGTACCGTATCTCAATTGAAACAATATTTTCTTCTATTACAGAGATAAAATTTCTTTCACTAGACTTCTTTTTTATTTTTAGTTATGCTTAGTATGTTTTTAAAATTAAACCTGGTTTGTAAATTATTTAATATAGGGTAAATTACATTTACACCCCTTAAGATTTGGATTTAATATATATCACTCCTTGACATTTGAGAAATTACACTGACCCCTTGTCATTGTAAGTATTTAGACGGAATGAAAATATTGAACTCATGCACTCTTTTTTTTTCTTGTTTTGCTTATTTCCTCTATTTTTTTTCTTTCCTTTGTTTTACTCTTTTTTTTTCAGTGTAATTGACTCTATTTTTTTATCTAAGGAGTTGTTGTCTTTTATATAAGCAGAGCAATTTGTGAAATAAGACTATTAACCATAGAAGTGAGAATATAATTTCTAGAACGTCAGGAGGTGGAATGTAATCGGATCAGATCTCAGGAGGTGTCAATGTAATTTACCCTTTAATATATTGACATTTGATTTTGATTTATACTTTTACTTTTAACATGAAATGTTAATTACAGGTTAGATCTTAACAAATTAAATTATTTAATTAAATTTTACGTTACTCTAAATTAAAAATAAATATTTTTTTACAGACATATCAAACTATACTTATACCTTATTTTTTTTAGATTTTAACGTATCGACGTATCCATGATATACTAATATCAGTCCCGTATCCATATCCGTACCATGCTTTATCACTTCTTTTTTTTATTGGTGATTCGAGTGGATAGGGGCTGTTAGGTTTGGTGGCTCATTTTGGAGCACACTTTGGTTATCTGTATTTTATTAGATTAGTTAGGTAAATAATGCATGAAAAAGGATTAAGTTGATCAGATGATGATAATTATATATTTGGATTAATTTTTTTTTATAAAATTGAATAACAAATATGATTTTAAGAATAAATTATTTATTTTTTTGTAAGCAAATGTAATTTAATTATCTAGTTACTAATATTTAATGAACTTAATTTTTTTACAAGATTTCTTTTCTTCAATGCACAAATGCTATATTTTGGCAAAATCATTTTTCCCTCCATGAAATTGAGCCCAGTGTTGACAGTGGTGTCGATCCTGTTGTGCCGGATGTAGACAAAAAAAGATTAGGGGAGTTTTAATTGTGGAGTTTTAGAGAGTTCTAATGATTCGTGAGTCTCACAATGATGTGATGTTTGTGTCTTATTTTTTTTTCTTTTTTTTTCATTGTCAAGTCATTAAAATTCTATTTAGAGTTTTAAAACTGGAGGGATGTATCATTTATAGATGTAGACACTACCTCTCATGAAATTGAGCCCAATATTGATACTGGTGTTGACACTATCTGAGTTTTAGCTGTTGGGAAAAGTAGAAGAAATCTGACAATAACAAAAAATAATAAATATTTGATGTTAAAAAATTATTTTCACTTCTACAAAAAGATAAAATCATATTAAAATTATAATTTTTTATTTTTTGTTTATTGTTTTCTCTTAATTAGTTTGTATTTTATTTTCAAAAAAATTCCTGACTCTATATACATTTTATATGATTTGTGAAGTCTTCATATGTATGAATATATATATCCATTGAAGTTTGGTTTTTTTCTTTTTCTTAATTTTTTTTCTAGATTCAAAATGAAAAGGCAAAGAGAAAAAATAGTTTGCTTTGATGAGGTGATAAATTTGGCAATCTGTCAAATGGCCAAACCTTATGTTAAATTTGACAAAAGATATAACATTGTTAAAATTTAACAGCTACATTTGGCCCATTTGTTTTGGGATATAGAGGGAGGAATGAGATTAGGATAGAGGTGAAACTCATTTAACGTTATGTTTGTTTGCAGATTTGGGAAAGGGATTGAAATGGAAGTTCGGATTACGTTGGGTCTTGGAAGGGGGGTTGTGATGGAGGCGGTGGATGTGGTATTAGAAAAATAGTCAGTCGGACTATTTTTTTTTATTTTTTATTTTTTACATGTTGGGCATTTTTTTTTTGAACATAATGTTTAATTTTTTATATTTTTTGTTAAGTAAAAATCATTGTTTTATTTGTTTTCTTTTTTTCTTTTTATTTTTTTTATTTTTTACATGTTGGGTTTTTTTTTTTTTTAACATTAATATTTAATTTTTTATATTTTTTGTTAAGTAAAAATCATTGTTTTTATTTGCTTTATTTTTTTTTTTGAAATTTTTTACCTGTTGGGTATTTTTTTTTTAACATTAATGTTTATTTTTGTATTTATTTTATTATTTTATATTTATTTTATATAAAAATAATTTAACAATCTCTACACCAACAACTATCATCAAAACAAACACAATTTTACTTAATCACCATCACTATCAATCCGCTTATTATAAATTCTCACCATTCTCCGTCCGAAAATAAATAGGCCTTAGAGCTCAATTTTTGCAGAGGTTGCTACACGGATTCCTTTGCATTTTTAGCACAATCATTTTTCTCTTCATCAATTCATCCGTTATTTTTCCAATTACCAACCACCATCATATTTGACCACTTTTCTTTTAATCTTGTGTTTTAAATTCAAAAATTGTTTTTGATCTTTTTTTTTGTGTTAAATAATTTTTTTAAATAAATATTTTTTTAAGTAATCCCCATTTTTTTAAATAATTAAAATATAAAAGAAATTCACTAAAAAAATATATATACGAAAAACAAAAATTTATAAATACTTTTTAAAAAGAAAACAACAACCAAGTGTGTTTGGACATTCTTGGTGGATTGATACATTTACCTATTTGTGCCATGTGGCACAAGGTGTACGTTTGCTAAAATATAGCAAGCCAAAAAACAAACTATCGGAGAGCAAAAAGTTAAACTCCATGTTATTTTTTATAACAATAGCATACCAAATAACAAGTCATTGGAGATGTAAAGAGAAAATATAATTTCGCTCTCAAATTTTTACTTATTTTTTAATTTGATCTTTAAATTTTGATTAATATTAATTTTACATTCGAACTTTTAAAATTTTGATCAATTTGACTTTTACCGTCACATTTCATCTACAATTGGACGGAATGTGCTAACGTGAGGGAGCAAATTTATTTTTAAGGTATAGTTTCGAAGACAAATTGATTTTTAATTTAGGAGGCAAATTGATTTTTAAAGTATAGTTTGGGGGTAAAATAAAATTTCAAATGAATTTCGGTGTCACGTCAGTACATTCCATCCAATTATAGACGGAATGTGACAGCAGAGGCCAAATTGATCAAAATTTTGAAAGTTTGGGTGTAAAATTAATATTAATCGAAGTCTGTGGGTCAAATTGAAAAACTCGTGAAAGTTTGGAGGGTAAAATGATATTTCCTCAGATGTAAACAAGCTAACTACTGATGTATATCGAATAAAAATTATAATATAAAAAGAGATAATTATGTATAAAAAAAATCTTAAAGTTTGACGATTGTAATAAAATAAATACTAATTTTTAAATTTTATCAATTTAAAATTTAAGTTTTAGATTTATTTTCAATTTAAACTATTTGTATATTTTCGTTAACTAAAACTGATGAAAAAAGTGTTTTAACTATTAAACTGAATGTATGTGATATAAAATGTCTAAAATATTTATTTCATTGAGTTTAATAATTAAAGTACTCATTTTTTCGTCGATTTTACTTAATAAAAATATGTAAATGGTTCATATTGAAAACAAATCAAAACTTTAGTATTTAAATTGACAAAATTAAAAACTTGGGATTTATTATGTTATAAGAGTCAAACCTTGGAATTTTTTTATAATTTTTCTAAAAAAATTAAATAACATTTCTAAGTGGAAAAAGAAAATTGATATAAAGCCTACTTTTTTAGACTTATTTTATAGACTTAATGATATGCAAATGATGTGATTGATTGATAATTAAAAAAGATAGAGCTGTGGAAAAGTGATTATAGCATATGGCTTAACAGCTTATAACTTATAACTGTGAACATAAGTTGATTTTTGATTTATAAATTAAACTTCTCTTGCCCCACTCAAAGAATAAGTTGATTTTTTACTTACAAAAAGCTATAAGCTGTATTGTTAAACTGAATTAAACACATCAAAATAATTTAAATTAAGCTAAAAATTAAAATAAAGTAAAAATAAATCTTACCAAACATGCCCATAGAAGAAAATTAATTGCGATATCATTAGATTTAAAAACTCATTAAAAACTGCATGTATTATAATAGTCAAACAAATTGTCTATATATATGTCATACCAACCATGACAGACATTTCAAACACATTTCCTTCTGAGAAAACACAATACACCAAAAAAATGAAAGTATTGGGTGTTTCTCTCCCCATCCCAACACTTTTAACTCTCTTCCTTTTGCTTCTGATTCAGCCTCCGTTCACAGCAGCACACAAAACCACCTCCATTTCTTTAATAACAAAAACTTGCAATCGCACCAAATTTCCCCAAATCTGCATATCTACGTTGGAGTCCGACAATCGCAGCTTCACTGCCAATCTCTCCAGCCTCTGCAGGATCGCCACACAACAGTCCGCGGCCAAAGCTAATATCACCTTGTCAAAAGTCACTGAATTGCTAAAAAATTCAACAGAGTATGGAATTTGGGAAAGCCTCCAAGTCTGTCAATATGTTTACAATCAAAGCAATTACAGAATCGCCAATGAGGGAGTCCCCGCGATTCATAGAGGGGATTTCAAGACTGCCCACCAAATGGTTGGTTTGGTTAATAAAGCTGCTTCTGATTGTAATGAAACTAGGCTTGAGATTTTGAGCCAAGCCAACACACTGTTGTTTAGGCTCACTGTTGATACCATGGCCATGTTGCATTTGCTTTTCTGATATACTTTTATAAATAGGAATGGTCATTAATAAAAACTGTATGTACTCTTTGGTAACTACATACAGTGAACTTTTTTTTCTCAATATTTCTAGTTGTTATTATATTTTTCAATTTCACATTCATCATTCTGTGATGAGTGGTTAGCATATGGAGTCAAGTTTAGAATAAAATGAATCCAAAGTCCTAGACTATGAAAGAGTTTGCTAATCACAAAAAAATGGTATTATGAAATTCAATGATGTCATGATGATCAAATTTTATGTATTACGCTTGGTTTACCTAGTAATTTGTCACTAAGCCTCAACGTATTGAATTTGATACAGTAATATTAGGACGATTATATTTTTATACTACATTTTTGTTTACTATCTCATGTATCATAAATGTATTGATTAAATAGTTTCACACTCGCCTATTACCAGTTTTGATTGTACTCTTGAATAGCTACTGAGGGAGTCCCCGCGATTCATAGAGGGGATTTCAAGACTGCCCACCAAATGGTTGGTTTGGTTAATAAAGCTGCTTCTGATTGTAATGAAACTAGGCTTGAGATTTTGAGCCAAGACAACACACTGTTGTTTAGGCTCACTGTTGATACCATGGCCATGTTGCATTTGCTTTTCTGATATACTTTTATAAGTAGGAATGGTCATTAATAAAAACTGTATGTACTCTTTGTTAACTACATACAGTGAACTTTTTTTCTCAATATTTCTAGTTGTTGTTATTATATTTTTCAATTTCACATTCATCATTCTGTGATGAGTGGTTAGCCTTTGGAGTCAAGTTTAATTTCATCATGTGCTTTAGCTATTGTTGAAGTTGGAATTAGATTTAGAATAAAATGAATCCAAAGTCCTAGACTATGAAAGAGTTAGCTAATCACAAAAAAATGGTATTATGAAATTCAATGATGTCATGATGATCAAATTTTATGTATCACGCTTGATTTACCTAGTAATTTGTCACTAAGCCTCAACGTATTGAATTTGATACAGTAATATTAGGACGATTATATTTTTATACTATATTTTTGTATACTATCTCATGTATCATAAATGTATTGATTAAATAGTTTCATACTGGCCTATTACCAGTTTTGATTGTACTCTTTTAATCCTAATGTTAATAGTCAGTAGCTTTAATTCTATTATTGATTTCATTTTTTCATTTTCTGTTAATGAAAACTGATATTGAAACTTCAGTACAATTATTGCTGGAAAAAATTTATGGAAATAAATTCTTTTACAAAACACTTTTAATTTAAGAAAAATGAAAAGGCAAATTTTCTGTTTCTAAAAACACAACAAAGGAAGGGCCAATTTCATTGACTTCTCTTCAGATTTATAAATTTTATTATTAAGTCTTACAATTTTAACATAATTAGATTGGATGGACACAGGTGGGGCTAGGGATTGAGAGTGATGACGCCTCTGCTTTGGAACCGGTTGATAAAATGGTGGTGACAAATTGGTATGTCGATGTAGGGTGGGGAGAAATTATCCAATGCTCTTGGAGTATTACTCTATTCTATTTATTGATTATTATTTATCACATTATTTTTTAAAATGCTAATACAAAAGTGTACGGGGGCGAAATATCTATTGTTCTCTGTACTCCTTGAACTCAAGCTCCACGTAACGCCACCTGGCCTGAAAACAGAAAGACAGTGAGCTGCCCGGGTGTGTGTTGCCAGATAGTCCTTCCGATGATGAAGTTAGACCACTTGAAAAGGAGAGCACTTTTTTTAGAGAGAGAGAGAGAGAGAGAACTTTTCAGATTGCTTACCTCCAACGTCCCCCATTCCTTCTTTTTCTAGGCTGGCCATGCAGCCTTAGGGATTGTGAGCGCATTACCTCTACTGTCCTTCCCTGGACAGGTGGCAGTGCTCTCCTCTCACTACCTTACGCGTGTAAAGGCTAAAACCTCCAAACAGCATGTGTGAAACTGCCAAACGGTATTAACGCGTGCCAGGAGTGGATTTCCCCTCCATCACATCATTGGTCCAGGTGGCACACTCAACCGGGATATCATGACCGACCTATCCCTTGGGAAGAAACACAACCATGATCAGTATGGCCGAGCTATAAGAAGTCAGTCCTTCAAGACTGACTGGCCGTGAGGCGTGCCGGCCTTCGCCCTAGTCCAAATTCATTCCCGGCTGTGCTTGCTTGGCTCGGCCCAGACGCACCACTGCGGATCCAACCGAATGCCTAGCCGAATCACAGCTCGGTCGGGCACATGCATAACTCCACGCTCCGATCGACAAATCTAGCTCGGCCCGACGTGACGGGCCGGAGAACCGCTCCGACTTAGCTCGGCCGAACATAGTCCGGCTCTCACAAGGTCCATTATAACTCGCGTTACTGTAGCTCGACCGTACTTGTCCGGCGCAAATCTCCCTCTCAATTGCCCCTTAATCCCATCCGAGCTGAGCGTGATTGGGATTACTGCCATGATCGAGCTATCTGATTTGGTCGATCTTTTGAATTGCGCCAGTAGTCTCATTAATAATCATTTGGCCATACTGACAGGCCGTCTTTTAAATGCCACGTGGCCTCGCGCCATTGGTTTCGTGCAGACCCACAGTTGTCTTTGTCACGCGCAAAATTCAAACAGTTGTCGCCCTTTGGGTTTCCCACTCTTTTTATATACATGTGAGGGGTCCCCCATGCCCCTACTATTTACCTTCCCCCACTAGCCAAACCCTAGCTTTTGAATCATCAAGCTTTTGCCACCGCCGCCATTGCTGCTGTTCGCCTTATTTTTGACCATCCCTGTTCTTTCAGAGGCTGCAAACAAGCTCGTGATCGACTGATCTCTGCTTGACATCCAATATCAGTAAGTTTTTCTACCCATCCCTCGTACTTTCCATTTACATTCTTCAAGTTCTTCATTTTTGTCTTTCGAGTTTTTTATCTAGACTGTTGGTATCTTACCAGTCCCCTCTCCCCTCTCTTTGGGGCTAAACTGGTACATACTAGGGAAAATTGAAATTGAGGAAGTAAATAGGGCTTTCGTGCCCCCTGTTTCCCTTGCCTGTAATGCACAGTTTTCATATTTGGGATGAACGGCATGAACCCTGGGTAAGACCGAGCTAAATCCATCATTTAGATCCATAGATAAGACTTCAGCCGAGCAAAAATTGGTTTGTGGTTTCTCGCTAAGGCCACGACCGTGCTAAAAATAAGGAGCCAGAACCGAACTAGGAAGGCCAAAACGGCCAAATAGTCGCACCGAGATAGGAGAATAGAATTGGTCAGATGCTCCAAGAACTCTAACCGAGCTAGGAACTCCCTTATAAGAGCCGTGCAATCTATGCCGAGCTAATGCATGGACTTATTTCTTATTAATGCAGAACCAACTAGGACCAACCAGGTCCGCCAGCATTACAACCGGTGAGGCTCAAAATTCGAGCAAACAACCACAAAAACTTTACCGAGATATGACCAAAATTCTCAAATAATTATAACCAAGATAGATGGGGAAGTACCGGTTTATGGTTGACAATCCTGAGGCACTGGCCGAGTTTCGTAGGGAGTATCGTATTCCGGACGATGTCTATCTAGAGCTGGCCAAGAAAGGAGACAGCCCATGGGGCGAGCTGAACAAAGGCCCCTTCACGATGGTATCCATAGTGGAAGGAGGACTACGCTTCCCGATCCAGCCCCTGATCTGCGTGTTTTTAAGGCAAATCAGGCTTTGCTCGACCCCAGTGTCCAACAACACATACAAAATAATAAACGGCGTTGCCGCGCTGAATAATTTACTCGGTCTAATCTCGGCCTTGCCGAGATATTTCATCAATATAGTCTTAGCAAAAATAAATGTGGGTTTTACTGGTATCTGAAAGTCAGAAAAGGCCGGGCAAAACTCATCGAAGGTAATCCAGACAAAGAAACCAATGATGACGACTTCTTGTGGGCATCCGGTCACTACGAAGACACTGAGGCGTCCATACCGGGCTAGTACATTAGGAAAGATTTTGGGAGTGCCGATGAGCATCTCGGTGAATCATATTATTTTCTTTCTGAATTGGTCTTCTTATTGCCGATCTAACACTTGCCTTCTTTTTGCAGACTATAACCTCTTGGCCGACGATTATTCCCGTGCACACCAGGAGGCTATTAGGGTTGCATTACAGCATCCAGCCGAGGAAAGGGAATCACACAAGCTGCTCGGCTTTGAACCGAGCTATCGCTACTCAGCCCCACGTAGGAGCAGGGTGACCGACTTCCTACGGGTGCCTTCTCCAGAACCAGATCCCAACCTACCCCAAATCAGACTAGTTCCATTAACGACTGCGCAAGAGATGGCCAAAATTCGGGCTATCAAATCGATGATCACCGGTGAGCAGAGCGACTCCTAGCCACCGGAGGCCACTGGTGGAACTTCTTCCAACCCGGCCATGCAGGCAAAGGAGACCGTGCTGGCTCTCGCTAGTGATCAAGGTGCAACTCGGTTCAAGAAGAGATCGAGAAAGGATTCGGCCGAACAGCATTTGGCAGACGAAGACTCCGCCGAGCACGCCTCCGCAGACTTGGGGGACCAGACTGAGCAACCGAGCGCTGAGCCATCTACTCGTCCCAGTGCCCACCTAGTCTGGTCACCTGAAGTAACTTACAAGGACCGGGCTGTTTCTTCGGCAGATTCTGTCTACGCCGGCAAGGACTATTCTCTCGGCTTCAACATGACGAAGGGATTACTCCTTTCTACCAACATGAAGAAGCACGACGAGCTGTCCGACTTGAAGGTTCAACAAAACAGTACATCCAAGGCAATTCAAGATTGAAGATTGGGTGCTGCGCAAAGTGATGGGAAACACCTTGACACCAGGAGATGGCAAGTTAGGGCCTAATTGGGAAGGACCTTACAAAGTTGTGGGATTAGCTGGCAAGGGGGCATACCACTTAGAAGATGAGGACGACAAAGCAATTCCCAGGCCATGGAACACTGTCAATCTGAAACTATTTTATTTTTAGCTTCTCTTCAAAATACTTGTAATTTTTCTTTTCTCCAATAAAACAAGTAGTTTTCTTTTCAGCATAAGTGTTTTATTCTGTAAAAGTTGTTTCAGTAGGTTAGGGGCATTGAAAGCATTGTTGGCCAGAAAAACCAACTTAGAGGTTGGCTGGAAAAACCAACACCCTTCCTAAGCTTATGATAAGGATCCAGGCTGTAGGACGTTTGGTCAAAATAACCAAACACTTTACTTTAGGTTGGTTGGAAAAACCAATCTAAAGGTTGGCTGGAAAAACCAACACCTTCCTAAGCCCAGGATAAGGATCCAGGCCGCAGGACGTTTAGTCGGAATAACCAAACACTTTACTTTAGGTTAGCTAGAAAAACCAATCTAAAGGTTGGCTGGAAAAACCAACACCCTCCTAAGCCCAGGATAAGGATCCAGGCTGCAGGACGTTTGGTCGGAATAACCAAACACTTTACTTTAGGTTGGCTGGAAAAACCAATCTAAAGGTTGGCTGGAAAAACCAACACCCTCCTAAACCCAGGATAAGGATCCAGGCTGCAGGACGTTTGGTCGGAATACCCAAACACTTTACTTTGGGTTGGCTGGAAAAACCAATCTAGAGGTTGGCTGGATTAAACCAACTCTTAGTACTCTTTAGCCGAAGTAAGGATATCGGCTAAAGCGTGGTTGGCTGGATTAAACCAACTCTTAGTACTTTTTAGCCGAAGTAAGGACATCGGCTAAAGAGTGGTTGACTGGACTAAACCAACTCTTGGTACTCTTCAGTCGAAGTAAGGACATCGGCTAAAGAGTGGTTGGCTGGATTAA